CAGTGTTTCTGGAGATCTTCGCCTAGAATCTCTATGGTTTCAGCTAGTCTTATAAGATTATCAATGTTTAGTTTGGGGTTTTTTAACATAACTTTATTATTAAGGAAAATATTTTGTTCATCTAGATGACTAAAAAACATTAAGGCTTTAGAAACGTCTTCCAAAAATTCGGATACATCAAATAAATTTTCTATAGTTTCTTCTGTCATAGGTAAAGTATTAACATATGTAATGACTCTTTTTCTTTTTGAGGAATATAAGGATCTCTAGATGAAATAAAGGTTCCTTTCTTAAAGGTATACGTAAATCCTCCGGTGAGTGAGTTTATAAAATTTAATTCTAAGATAAAATCATAGGTACTAGGAATATTATTAACTACATAAGTCTGAGGTAAAATAAACTTTTCATTATTAATTAATATAGGAATGTTTTGAACACGATGGGTTATTGAAAGTTTTTCATTATTATACTGGCTCATGTTAACATTATAGTTTAACTTTACTACGGCTTCGTCTGGTACTAAATGCTTTTGAATTATACTTTTGGATGCTCCAGTATCAAGCATAGCTGAGATTTGAACTAATTTTTCTCTAAATTCTAATGTTACTGGGAATTGAATTAAACTAGATGATTTATATATTGAATTTATAGATTCGACTAAAATATCTTCTTGCTTATCTTAATATTTTGTATAACAATTATAATATAATAAAGTTTTACAATGGTTTTCACAGTAATGACCTTTTGTAATAAATGTATTGCATTGTTTACAATTATAAGAAGAAAATTGAAAATTAACTAAGTTATACTGACATGATGAATTACTTATAGTGTGAACGAAATCTTCTATTGAATGAAGCCCTTGTTCAAAGTCTTCATCATTATCAAAGTTGCTATCTAAGCTCTCAATACTATATATACTTTCATTATCATCGTCAGAGTCATAAATACTTTATAGTTCATATAATTCTTTTATCTGTTCTTCAATATCTTCAAGTATGTTGATTTTTTATTGTATCCTTTTGATAGGATTCTGCTTGTATCGATCAGGGCAATTTGATCTAATGTGTCCTGAATCTCCACAAATAAAACATTTGCAGTGTCTTTCTTTTGTGGATAAAGTGTTTACCTTATTATCATTATCTTTATTATCCTTTTTATCTTTATTTATTTTTTATTTTTTATACCAAGGCCGCTTTCTGAATTGCCTAGGGTTAGTTTTGACATAAGGTTTTTTATTACAAAAGTTCTTGTAGGTCCTACTTCTGCGTAAATTATATTTTTTAGGTTTATTGTGCTTATAATTATAATTTTTCTGAAGCATACAACCATACTGGGGTGGAAATCTATTTGTCTACACGTATAATAAAATTGTTTTTTGATTTGTTTAGATTCTTTACGTTGTCGATATTCTGCTTTTAATATGTTATACACATTATTAACTCTATCTTCTATGGTTAGCGTATCGCGTCTAGGATTTTCTAACCATTTGTCCTATATTTTAGTTCCTACGCTTCCGGGTAACTTCTGAAGATATCTATTCAGTAATGTTTTATCTCGTGTTTTACCAGTGGCTGCAAAATACTAAAAAAACTTATTGGTGTAGTCTTTTATGTATATAAAATCACAAATCTGCAATAATTCTAAATTACGTAAAGTTTGGTTTTGTTTTATTAAGGTGTCATCTAATAATCTATTTTCGCTAACTAATACCTTTTTAATTAGGCTGGTAAAGCCTTGAATTGTAAAATTATCTCGTAAGAAGGCATAATCATTGGGATAAGTTACTTTATAAGCCTGCCACCAGTCATGAATAGTTCCTCTTAATAAGGTTTCACAATAGGTTAAGGCTTGAGTTCTATTGTCAAAATTTGTCAAAATAGATTGCCGAATACAATTTTGTTCCCAATTTTTAATTACTTTTGCCCAATCTTGGGGATCGTGCCTTGCTATGTCTAATATTGTACCTGCTTGTTGTGCTGGTACATTCTCATAATTTCTACGATATTGTGTCCATGAATACATATCTGGTATATTTCGATTTTCTACATAAGTTTCACGTGAGGGGTTTAATCTTTATCCAGTAGTATAGTCGTCATTTATGGTATTATTACCTGAGGCGTTAGTCTTTCTTTGATTAGTCATTTCTTGGTTAATTGACTGAGATTCTGATCCTTCTGGTGCTTTTTCTTCTCTATGCTCTATTACATTTAACTCTTCTTTTACTGTGTTTAACTCTGATGCTGTATAGAAAGATTCAAATCCTACACTTAGAATATTTTTCTTAATATCATCATTATTTCCTTGCCCTAAGTAAATACTTTCTAAGAGTTTGTATCTAGGTTCTGGATACTTGTCTTACAACGCTTCTAACTCTAAATTATCAAAATCGTACGTTATTTTATCTAGGATTTCATCCTCTAATCTAATATAAAGGACATTTATATCTTCAGGAGATTAAATCTCTATCAGTGTAGTTAAAAAATCTTCTTGGGTATCATCTACTAAATTGTCTTGTCTTTTATAATTACTAAACCTTATGCTAGCTTCTCCACTATTTGAAACATATATCATATTATTTTCGGGAATCTTTTTAGGTGTAGTAGTAAGTTTAGGTAATTTCCATTCTGTTCCTTCATGAGTAATACTACTTACTTTTCTAGCTTCTATTATCTGGACATATTTGCTACTAAAAGGTTTAACTATTTCACTAAATTGGGCTTTAAATTTTAAGTTGTACTGATTAACTGCCTTTCCCATAAATAAAGTATTAACTAATAGATTTTCAAATTGTTCTATCCTATTGTATCCTTTTGTAGATATAGCTATCTTAATATGTTTACTGAATTCTCTAGTAGTCATCGTGTAATTGGGAATACATCCTACTATTGCTGCATTGTCAGATAAATCTACTTCGGTGCTGGCTATTTGTGCTTGTTGATGGTTATTCCATCGATCATCATAAATATAAGCAAGTGCTCTAGTTCCTATTTCTGTTCTGTTTAATCCTACTAATCCTATCATTATGACACCTAAATGCATGGGTTCTAAATTATTATCATTTAATTCTTGACATGTTTCAGGTGTTATAAGGTCTAAAATAACTTGATTGTTAACTGTATTTATTTTTCTTTGACTAAAATGATTATATATCTTGCTCTGGAAGTCTAATAAATTATTGGAATAAAGATTAACTTTATTTTTTACCTTCTTTATTCTTTGTTCTGTATATTTTTTAGCATTATGTTCATTATCATATAAATCTTCTACTCTCATTATTTCTTTAGCTTTTCTAAGGATAATGGCCATTGTGGTATTCGCTTATGAGGTTGAGGTTGTAGTAGATTTACACGCTTGGTTATTGCAGGAGAGGACTGGTTATTAGTTGACAATTTTATTTCTTTTATTTTTTCTGATAATTCAAATAATTCTTTAGAAGATTCTTTGGGAATACTTTCTTGTATCACTTCTAATTTCTCTTCAAGTTTATTAACTTTATCAAATAACTAGAGTAATAACTGGATTAAAAAATTATTTTGTCTAATATGTGTATTAGTTGATTGTACATCTGTTTTAAAACTTGTAAATCCTATGGGTTCTTTATCAATTTTGTAAAGTTCAGCTAACGCAGTTAAATAATCAGGACTACTAGTGCTCATAAAACTATTGTAATGACCTTTGGATATCGGTTTTAAGGGATTTTAATTTTCAGCAATATTTTTAATATCACTATTGATATCTTTAATAGCGACTAATATTATCTTATTATCTAAATTATTTGGACTAGAATTTTGTACTACTTGTTCTTAATATAATCAAGATTTTCTCCGAGTCGTTTTATAGAAGTATCTAAATTATTAAAGTCGAGTCTATTCATAAACTAAAGTCGTTGCCGTCTAAGTTCTAAAATATTTTGTATTAATAGAATTCTAGATCTAAGTTCTTCGATTCTTCTTTGTAGACCACGTGTTGTGTCTCCCAATTCTAGTGCTATATAGTAGTTCCTAAGTGTTGTTTGACAAAATTATAAGACTTGAACAAGTTGTTCTTTGGGGAAATCGTGCATAGAGTAAACGTTTAGGGGTGAAAATATAATTTAAACTTACTAAAAGGGTCAAATAAAGTGCCTTGACTTTTAGTTCATATTTTCGTAAATACGCAAACTACGTTCATGTAATGGTAACATAACTATGCTAAGACCACTTATACGTAATTTTTCCTTTTTATTTCCTATTGATGACAGGATACAATAGTGGCCACTAATGGTAAACTAAAACTATAAAATAGTGGGGGAGAGAAAAAAATTTAATTAATATTGGGTGATTTAGTTCATAATGGGCAACGAGTGGATTGATTCTTTGTTTATAATTTTTTTTTTAAAAATCGTGTACAATTATATGAAGGCTCCGAGTCCAGTTGTCATAAAAATAATAACAATAATAATAAAACCTAATAAAAATAACCTATCCATCAACATAACAAAAATAAGATATCCATCATCAATTTTTGGCCGGCTAATAGATTTGGCCTAAACCTTTGCCAAACACCTAAAATTAAAAATAAAAGAAATTATTTTACCTAAAAAAAAAAAATATTTTACAAACGGAGCCCAAGTATATTTGTAATTTGATTTTCAGATTATAAAAGAATTTCACACCAATTTCAAACTATTTTCTATTTCTGGTTGCCTGATTAAAAGGAAGGGTAAATATGTTTTCAAGACTGGCAAAAACCAAAAGCAATTAATAAACTCTAGGTGACCAAAAAAAAAAAAAAACTCTAGGTCACCAATTGCTTTTCAAATAATTACCCAAAACAAAAAAATGATTTTCAAATGCAGTTTAGGTTTCAGAATTTAATAAATAGTTATGTTGTATATCGGTGCTGGGTATACAACCAAATTCTCTAGTCGTCATTTCAATTGAAAATGAAGACCAGTTTTCATCCTAGAGAATGCTACCACCAAATGGAAAATTTGAGTAGCAACACACCCAAACACATACACATATAAAGCTTTCCATTGTATTAAAAGAAGCTGATGATGGCAAGCCAAACCAGATATATCACGGAGACTAAAAAAAACCTATATATTGTTCTGATCAATGATAACTAAGAAAATCGAAAATTTTAAGTTTAACACAATGATGATAAAGTTCATCGTACATAACACAACACCAAACTATCCAATCGTTACATAAACTGAAAACTGCAAAGAACCGGTGCATCTCACAAAATGTGATTCCAAGCAAGAAAACTCCGTCAAAAGTACGCCACAGAACTGTGAAAATTTCATTAGAGATGCAGTACTTCACCCAATCCATTCACTCCAATCGTATAGAAACCTCAAGCTTCACATAATTAATCATAGCTAGCATTCAAGAACTTCAGCAATTCGTTTCGCTTATTTTCTGCCATTTTGTCTTCCTTTGATTTCTCAACCTTCAATAGAATCTACAAACAAATAGAAAGAGAAATAACAACCTATGCATGCCGATCATTTCCATACTGACTACACATGGTCATTGGTCAATTTCCAGAAAGACTCACCTTTTTTCCAGAGACAACACTGCGACGGGCACCGTCATCCTTGTCACGCCCCAAAAACTGGATAATATGCATAATAAAAATTACTGAAAAGAGGGGAAAGTTGATAACTGCAATTTTTTTATCAATTAAAGTAAAATGAAAAAAACCTTGGAAAGCTGTACAGGGCTGCTACATCTTTTGTCCTGCTGCTTCTGTATGTGGCTCACATTGCCAGGAATAACCCCAATCCAGAATCATCATCCAGACAATTCAATCAAGCGCCCAGACATCATGTCACAGACCCCAGCTCCAATTTCGAAGAGCCATTTCACAAACAGGCAGAAAAAAATATAAGCATCTCGTAGACTAATGATAATACTTTTTAGGCAAATCACACATGAAATTTCCACAGCTTCAAAATGAATATAAAAATTAACAGTTCTCTTCACAAATTTTACTCGGCATTAGTAGAATTAAATTTTTGAGTGGAAGACAGTTCAGTGACTTGTTTCTTGAATTAAATTATTGACGTCCACGTGCAGCTTAGTGACTTTTTTACATAGTTTGACTAAGGTTATAGCCTTGGATAGAGTGGAAGACATGATTTATGTAACCCGCCCCAGATTATTAGGAAAAGGACGTGTTGAGTTGAAATAACTCAGTTCCTACTAATACCAGATTGTTGGAATATATAGGTGTATAATAATAATTTGAGGCCAGACAAAGCAAGAAAATGAAAGTTACCTCTTTAGATTTATGCTTATGCCGTTTATGTCGATGACTCTTCCCTTTGTCTTTTTCCTTGTTCTGAAAAGCAAAAGGCCAGTAACATAGCATTAACAAACAGGCATAAGATGTAATAAGAAGTAAGAACGTTCGAAAATAACCTTCTTCGGTCTGTCATTTGATTTACGTCTCTGTTCATGCGTAGATACTTCGTGCTCACTGTCAGAAGAACTGTTGCTCCAACATTAATCCATAAGACACAAGATGTTAGTAATCGAATAATCCTCAAATTCTACTCTAGGCTAGATATATTTTATTTATTTATTGGGTGTGTGTGTGTGTGTGTCTGTTATGGTTCATAAATCATATTTTTTGTTGAGTAAATATATTGTAGAAAATACACCCAAGAACATTGTGTAATGGAACATGACTAGGTTAGATATGCAAAATATAGTTCTGCTAATATTACAATCAATAGTAATATGGAAAAAAAATTAATACCCCGGGGGTATCTACTATGCAGTACCCCCGCCCAACCAAGAGTCCCCATTTCCCTTAATAATAGAAAATGATAATTTATGATTGGCCAGGGATACTATATAATCGATACCTCCAGGTGTTCCGATAATTAGAGGATATGGAGCAGAATTTTCGAAGGCAAGGTTACAAGAAGCTCCTTTCACAACAGAACCTCTCTTCTGTCCTTGAAAGCACGAATCAATAAATTTGAAAAGCTTTTAAGGAACATTTCAGATGCAGGAAGCCTGCTACGTCTGGATACCTCACAATTCATGCTTTCTTTATATTACCACAACCTTTTTTCCCCCAAATTTTGTGCTTCAAAATATTTACAAGTTACAACACATCCCTTTCCTAGAATCAACTTTTTAAATTAAAGTAGCTCATCATCTAGTACTAGTTACAAGAATCATTCCTACCATTGATTAGATCAGCAATGAATTGATCATCGATGCAACGTAAAGAGAGACGTTACTGGGTGGTATGATTGGTGACATTTCCAATGAACAGGTACAATATTTTAATATAAAAGCCAGCACACGAGTAAACGGTTGATTCGAGACCAACTAATAGTAAATAGCCATAAAACTTAGTACAAAATTATAGACTGGATCCTCCCATTTAACAAGGCAATTTGGGTCTTATTCAGGTGTCCCTAAATTACTATAAGAGTTTGAAAAAATGTACGCGCTAGTTTATAAAATGAATGCAATCAAATCAGCCCATTATCAAGCTGAACCCAAATTGTTCTAAAATAGCTCAATTCATAAGCAACCCTCCATAAATGGTTTTGCAACTCTCTATAAGAGTTTTCTTAGGCATTGTATGCACTTCTAATCTTACATACAATGCCTAAGAAAAACTACAAGCAGTGCCAAGCATCTTTATCCACTTTTATTCTGTTTGATTTTCCATCTCTATTAGCTTTTAAACCCAAAAATTTATCACCAATAGTTTACCCCAACCCAACCACTAAAAAATCCTATTTTATAACCTCAACCATTTGCTTTAACAATACTCTAGCACCTAAAGAACACTGACTGGTCCTCCAGTTACTATTCACAGCCCAAATTAACCCCAAAGTTGTCTTTCCTGACTTTATTTTTGCCCTAAATCCATATGCTTTCTAACATCATTACAAACCCTTTCGTTTCTAGTTGTCACCAATATTTAGACAATAATCCGCCCCCTTATACTGGGAATATCCTTTATATACTTAATCTTGCCTCTTTGAGGAATTGGTGCTTGAGGCCCTTGAACACTTTCTGTCAAGTGTTAATTATGCCTAAAATCACTATTATAACTAGTCCTTGACTTTTTATACATAGGATGTTTCATAGTTGTTAAAGGCTCAAGGCGCAATAAGGCGCCAAAGGTCTTCTTGAGCTTAAGCGCAATATAAGGTGCAGACCTGATTCAAGTAAGGCACGTGTAATAATAATGCATAGTGAAACATATATAATAATATATATTCAGAATCAATCACTAACTGCAATTAATGTAAGTAGTGAACCATAAATTTTTTCAGATATTTCATAAGGTTAAGCAATACTATATATGATATAGAACATTTTAATTTAGTAGTCATTAAGTAAAAAATAAAGTAGTGTGAATAAATGATTAAAACATAAAAGTCATGCCATTTTGAGACTGGAGCCTACTACAAAACGTGAGCCTGATTGAAGGGGCTTAGCTTGTACTAGGTTGAGGCGCTCTACCTGAGCCTTGACAAGCCTAGGGTTTTTTCAGAGCCTAAGCACGCCTTTAACAACTATGGGATGTTTTCTTTATTTTGACATATTCAATAGGCTATTTTTTTGTTTTTTTGTTTTTTTTTTCATAAGCAGGTATTCTATTAATCTCAAAGGATATGGCAATCACTACAATTGAGAGGTAAGGGCATACCCTCACAAAACAGAGAAGAACAAGAAAACAGAGAAGTACCACTTCCAATACATCTCAAAGACAAAAAGACAGCAAAAACAATTACATGACAGCACCAACATCTTACACGAGATATTCAATAGGCTGTTTAAGAGGTTCTAAAAGTTTGTGAATTGATTAAGCTTTCAAAACATTTGTGAATTGATTAAGACTTTGTAATAATTTCAGCATATTGCAGTACTCAGATTCCAATTTGATTATTCTATCGTTTTAAATGTCTTGTAAGACTAGCATGGTCAACCTAATATAACTAATTTTTGAAGTCCCAGGGCTCATCAATTGAGCAAAAACTCGTTATCGCCTCAAATTTTTTAGCTGGAAAGAGAACACATAAAATATCTGCATATGTAAGTACTTGTTAGGATCAGAACAAGCAACAAATATAAGAACATCTATTTAAAAATATCAAAACAACCTAAACTCTTTGAGGCCCAACAATTTCATCTAAAAATTTTTTTTAATTACTTTTGTGATTTGCACACAAGAACCCATTTAGTCACTTTTGTGAAATTAGTTGAAGCAGAACACACAATTGACCACCTAAACGAGCATAAATCAAATAACTAGACATAATAAACGCTAAATTTCAAACTAGAATGACAAATCCCAAAATCTAAATTCGAAGAATTAAAAGAAAAAAATAAATCAAACCCTAACTTCAAAGATCCATGAACGATGTATCTCACACGATATGCAGAATATAAACATATATCTAGAGTGGAATTGAGATGGAGAGATTTCGATTAGACCTGCGATCGTCGGATGATGAAGAGTGACTGTCGGAAGAGTGACGCCTGCGTCGACGCTTCGTGTGTGAGCGACTATTTTTGTGGACTTTCAGAGAGTCTTTGTCTCGGCGGCGTCGGCGACGTTGACGTCGGTCTCGGCGAGATGATGAGTCGGAGGATGAGGAAAGTGACGCAGAGGACGAGGAGGCCGCCATGGATGTGTGTGTTTTTGTGTGTGTGAGGGAGAGAGTGAGATCGGATGGTTCAAATATCTCCTGATATTGTTTGAAAAATTATGGAATGAGAGTGACTCCAAATATTGATTTTTTTTTTAGATATTTCAGAAATTAATGAAAATTTCTAAGAAAAAAATGTAAAAAACATCATGCAATAATGCGATTGAAAAATTAAATACGGAGTATGTGCAAATAAATCGAATAGAACCGAGCACTTTATTTAATTGTCAAATCATGTTATTGATATTTCAAAGAAGGTATTTTTCTTAATTTAAGACGAATTAATTTATATGAATTAAGTTTGTGGAGGAAAATATATTTTATTACACTTTTAACGATGACAAAATATTTTGAAATTAAAAAAAAAAAAAAGTAAATTTATTAGACATGTTTAACTCATTGTTCAAGTTTAACTTGTTAAACAAACAAATTTATATTAAAATTTGTTCCAGATTAACTTGCTTAATAAACAAATTTATATTAAAACTTATTCAAGTTTAATTCAACAAACAAATTCATATTAAAATTTGGAACTTGTTCAAGTTTAACTTGTTTAAGAAACAAACTCGTTTTAATGCACAAACTTTATTTTTGTGAATGGATTGATTTATTTGTGGTCCTAATTATAATTAGTCCTTATTCACAAGGATAATTATCTTTTGTCCTAAATTTAAATAGTAAGAAGAGAGAGGGATTGAGAGTTCTTCAGACTTTGGACAACATATCAATCTTCACAAGTGGATAGATTGATGGCCTATAATAATATGAATTAGAGTTGGAGATCTAGGGTCGCAAAGTAATACTACTGTTAGTGTGATACTACTGTAAGCGGAGAATAATAAAGTTATTTCCTAAGTCATATAAAACGATAGCAGAAATTGAAAAGCAACAAAATTAAGTCGTAATCAGTGAGAATTTAAGCAAGAGCATGCGTAGAGCGTGAGAGTAAGAACATACTCGTAACGTGAGAGCGATGTCTTTGAGAATGATTGTATGACTCATTCACCACTCATAAAATACTCGAATTAGTCCAAGAGTGGAACAAATTATTTTTTTATGAACTAAAGAAAAAATCCTCCATAAATAACCATATAAAAGTATTAATGTTGATATTGATGCTTACTGAAAGCCGAGCCAAAGTCCTCCTATCTTATTTTTAAATCAAAGAACAGGGTTTGAGATATAACGAGTTTGACTTAGATCTAATTAAATTCGAAGTTTATTTTAAGCACGTTTGAAATTTCAATTTAAATCCAAAATATAAAAAGTGAGTCGGATATAAATTCTCCTTGAATCAGATGTAAATTATGATTGAATATAAATATACGAGTGATTCTTAAATATTGAGACTCCACTTAAATCTATTATGGAATTTATTTTAGCATGATATTCAAATTATATGATCTCATAAGAGCCATGTCCATTGAATCCCTTTTAGAATCAGATTTAGATATGAATCCTGACAATAAAAAATTGTTTAAAAAAAAAATTCACAAATACCACATTTGCTTGTCATTCTACTACCGTGATATAATTTGAAAATATAAATCATCAACAAAATTTCCACAACTAATAAAAGAAATAAATAAAAATTGGAGAGTTTTAAAGATCTAAGTCACACAATTTTCGTTTGAAAGAGTGTTATTCTCGCGCTTCCCGCACACTTCCTCGGTGTAACTTAAATTTTGCTATGTTTGCGCTCTTATTATAGCCGCATCCGCTCCAGATGGTTAACTCAGCTCGAGATGGTTTGTGTTCACAATAAACCAGCAGCAAAAGGAACGCCAGTTGCAGCCAACCACTCATCCCCTGAAATGAAGCTGCCCACAGTGAATTTAGCCGCATCCGCTGCACTCATCACATGGAAACCAGGCCATGCCACTCTCCCGCCGGTCGCCGAGCCCGCTCCCCTATTACCATACTCACCATAATACAACGTTGCGGGCGGCACCTCCCCATTCCATTCCAACCAACCGGCAGCATCAATCAACCCATCAATGGAACTCTGCATAAAAACCACCCTAGCGTACTTCTTCCACGGCCTCCCTAAGTACGATTTCGTCTTGCCTTTGCTCGAACTAGCCGAGTCACTAGCTGCTCTGATGTTGCAGTTGTGGATTGATATGCCAGTGTTCTGGTTTGCGTGTGTCCTGCCTTGTGCAGTGATGACGTTGGTTGGCATTCCAAGTCGCAGGAAAATGTTGCAATTTTGGAAGACAGCTGCTGCATTTCCGAAGATGAAGTCCACAGTTCCATAGATGTCACATTCTCTGTAGAATTGTCTTTGAGAATGGGCATACAAGGTGTCTTGGTAGCCTTCGAAGCTACATCGGAAAAATGTGGAGAGATCTGCACCGTTTCTCACTGCCGGTGCTTGGTGCTTGATTGCCCCGGCTGTGTTGCGGAAGGTTATGTTTATGGCAACAAAACCCTTCCCAACCACAGCTGCAATACACGTTATGAAAATCTCGAGAAGTTTAGATTTAATCATTTACATATGAGAAAGAAGGAGGGAAACAAATTATGTACAAATATGTAACAGTCATTCAGTACTTGTCATTCGACTCAAAAGTTTAAGTTGTCTGGTGGTGCTTGCCCTTATAATTAAGTCTAAGATTCTCTCCATAATTCAATTGTGGACAAAAATCTCTAACCGAATATTTGTTTCTATTTCTTCTTCTTTCTTTTTCATTTCTTTTTTTTACTTTCATTCCAATTCATTCAATCCAAACACACTCTAAAAGCAAGTGATACATGAACATAGATCATTAGCACACTACTTTAAGTTTTAGATCATATTCGGTGCAAAAATAATGTCAATTGTCAAACTTAGTTCTACATATGTGAAGATGTATCTACTAGTAATCATTGATCAAAGTGATTTTTCATGAATCACATAATAAAACTTATGTTGCGCTGATGAATATGCTAAAAGTGCATGCATGTGGTCTTTAATTCATGAAGCTGCGCGCTAAGCTTGAGCTTATTATTAAATGATCATGTGAATATATATGTGATTTATCATGTCGAACAAAAATTTAAAAATCATGCACTAAAAATCAAAATTAAGAACTCAATCTAATGTTATGATATTTAAGCTTACCAAATGTTTGAGAATTAAATCCCGACGATCCACCACCCACACTCCGACTACCGGTAATGATAGTCTTGTCGATTCCATCTCCTACCATCATCAAGTACCTCTGGTTCTTGCCAATGGAGACATACTCTTCATAAACTCCTGCAACCACATGAATCAAGAAATACCCATCGCTCGGATTCAAGTTGATTGGCGCTGCAGCGATTGCGGCATTGATGGTAGTGAAATTCCCACTTCCATTCGGATTTACAACCACCACTTGGCTCACAGCCACATTACCCCCACTTTTTTGGAGGAGTTTTGTTCCAGTCAGTGACTCATAAATGTTCCGGTTTTCGCTTGACATTGTCAATGGCAACTGACCATCTTGTCTGAGATCAATGTTCTTGGAAAAAATGTGCTCTCTTTCTGTTAGCCAAAGGCCTTTTGTCGTCTCAGGAAACCAACCTTGCGTAAAAAGTGTAAGAGACGCACCATACAGCAGAGTTCCATTAGTGAGTGGGGCTAAAAGGGCATCTCTAATAGCTAAATCAGAATTTATGGCTTGAAGACCATCTAAACATGTTTGTTGGTTGGTTAAAATTGCAGAAAGCAAGGTTTGAGTGTCCTCGGCTTGTAATATCTGAAGGGTGTTTGTCGAATTAATGGCTTGAATAGTGTTTGACAAGAAATCAATGTTCAAGCTATAGAGAAATTGGCAATCTTGGAGAGCAAAAATGGTGGTTTGTGACAATGTTTGTCCGAGGTTGAGGTAACCATTGATCAAAGAAAGGAAACTTCCGGTTTCTGCTAAGGCGCGTTGAATTGAAAGCCGGCCATTATCAAATATGGTGCCAGAAGGGTTCTGTGCTAGCGCGGATTTGCAGAAGAATGCGAAAGGAGAAATGAAATGGAGCATTAGAAAGAGAGAGAGAATGCAAATAGTGGAATGTATGGAAGCCATGTTCATTACACTAGATTTGGATGCCTTGAACACAAGCATATTCAATTATATATGTAGAATTTCAGCTCTAATAAATTCTCAAATTGCATTGATTTGAGTATAAAGTTACTCTTTAAAGTCTTATCTAAGTAGACATTGAAGTTCTAGTGCAATTTTAACTCATTGCATTGATTTCAGTGTAAAGTTGTATCTATATAGCCTTGAGTATTTAACATTATAGAAATCATTAGGGTCTCTTTAAAATTCATTTTCCGTTCTTGGATATTCATAAAAAGAAAGTATTCGCCTTTTTCTGTTCGTATATCTTATAATAATAAATTAAATTAGACAAAATAAATTTGTTTTAAGTAAGGATTTTTGAAAAAGGTTGTTTGAACAATAAAAGAAAGTATTAATTTCTTCTTAGATGTTATGGTGATGAATTAAATTTCTATTAAAGCAGAGTTATAACATCTCTATATTTATAGTCTGAATTTAATATTAACAACTCATGACTCCTGTCTTGAAAGAATTCTATTTAACAAACGGTTTTTGGAAAACACTTTGACACTAGAAAAATATTAGCCCTTCTAAGTTTTTGCTCAAGAGTTCCCCAAAATTATTTCTAAAAGATTGAACCAACTACAACTTAAACCTTTTTAAAATAGAGTAGTGATATTTGGACCGAACTCTCAAAGTGAATTGTCTACTTACAAATTTTAATTGGTCAATCTTTATCAAATATTAGAAAGCAGAGGGTCCCACCTCTATATATGACCAATCAAAGCTTGTAAGTGACAATTTACTTTAAGTAATCGGACTAAAAATCATTTTCCTTTTAGTTAAAAAAATCAGACCTTTAAAAAATAATAATGAAATGGAAGTTAATTCATTGAGGTTATGATGCATAACCTCAATGAAGTAGAGATGATAGAAGTCTCATCCAAAACATTCCACTACCCGAGATCACATCAAAGGTAAAGCTAAAGATAAGAAAATAAATTAAAAAATAAAAAAGTTAAAGTTGCA